ACCATAACAAATACAGATGAAGACATCACAATGAGAATCGGGCAAGATGAAATAGAACAAGTTCAGCATTATATGTATCTGGGTCAAACTATAAAACTTAACAAAGAGAACCAAACAGCAGAGATAAAAAGACGAGTTAGACTAGCATGGGCGGCATTTTGCAAACTAAGCTACATTCTTAAAAACAAAAGATATCCACAGCGCTTAAGACCAAAGTATACTCCCTGTTCTTACTTATGGTTCCTAAACGTGGATATTTACAAAAGCAAACATGGACAAAATCATAAAAACCCAAAGAGCAATGGAAAGACAAATGTTGCACATAAGGCTAATGGATAAAAAGAGAAATGAGTGGATAAGAGAGAAAACAAAAGTGAGAGATATTAGACAAGAAGTTGCAAAATTAAAATGGAGATTTGCCGGACACAATATAAGACAAAAGAAGACCGATGGAATTAAATTCTTATAAGTTGGAGACCGAGGGAATATAAACGAAGCAAAGAAAGGCCCTAAATGAGATGGGCAGATGATATCAAGAAGCACGTGGTCTCTAGGTGGATGACTGTAGCGACAGATAGAGAAGAAGGAAAAGGATTGGGGAGGCCTATGTCCAAAGATGGACCGAAGAAGGCTAATTAGATAGATAGATAGATGTGAGGATTTTGTTTTACACACATTTTTATAGTCTGTCAAGTGTCCACTGAGAAAATTCAAAAAAAATGAAAATTGGCGATTGTGATACTAGTACTGTAACTTTGGTTACATTGATACAAATTTAGTTGCCTCCAAGTCATTTAAAAAGGGTCTAGTTAAATCGAAAGTCATTCTTGTCAAATTAAATTTTATTTTAATGAAATTTTAATGAAATTAGACATAGACTATATTTTCTTTACTTTGTGGACCACAGAATGAGTCTTCGTGGTTAGGTAGTTTGGTAGATATATGTTTTGTAAATGTGCTTTGTAGTATTCCAGCCTTTAATGTTGGTGTCAAGTGTCTCCAAAATGAATTTCAATCAAATTGTTGACGTCTTGTATTAAATTCTCCCGATTGAAATTTTGTACATTGATGGCTACAAGTATGGAAGAATTCATACGAGATAACCTTTCTTTAATCTTGGTTAAGCTACGAAACACTCCAGTTGAAACGTTGAAATTTGGATCACCTTTCACCAAAATGTCTCCAGGCTTTTTGATGGACCGCTTCAGATAAAGTCGTTTACATTCGGTAAGTTTAAAGTGTCACTGCCTTTTAGCTTTAAACCTCGGTCTTCCAGTCGAAAAAGTTAAAATCTTGGTCAGCTAACAAAACAGTGGTATAATCTTTCACTTTATTGTAATATTCTGCAGGATTTGCTACAACTTCAAGTTTTTTTATTTCTCTCTCAATTAGCCCAAATATTCTATCGGGAGGGATAAATTCAGGGAATAATATAATCCTTAAGGTCGTTTAATTTTTTCCTCTAGGGATAAACATGTGGAACACGTGGTGTACGAAAGAATAAATTAAAATTTTTGTCCAACACTTCTCGGAAAAAGCCTCTCTTGACAGGTTCATTTGACGGATCACTTGAGTAAAAATGGTACAACTTCATTATAAATTTTTAACTAAGAAGCAAAGTACACTTTGCTTCTTAGTTAAAAATTTTGTTGCCTTTCTGTCTCCACCCCTTCTTTCAATAGGTACATTATAGTCCTTTTTATAATTTTCAATGACTGTTCTAACTCTTTGTCGTACAATACGAAATATATTCAGATATGCATTTAGGCAGACATTTACAACCGTATTATCACTTAAATTAATAAAATATTAGCACGTCGTTGTTTTCGCTCATCTGCTGGGCCTCCTTTCTTGCAATTCTTGTTGCTTACGTCGTCTTTTTACATCCTGTATTTCAATACTATTTAACATAAATGCATCTTGTGCAATCTTCGTTGAATTGAAGTAGAATTGTTTGTTGACTTTTGCAAGTTCACTTATAGTTTATAGTTTCAATTTTCTGCACAAAAAAGCTGTTGATTTGTGTTGGCACTGTGGTTGGTTTGGACTTTTCGATGTATCTGAAATAGAAAAAAAAAACTTTTTCAGTTCTCCTAAAAAATTGATGGGTCAAAAACAAGAGATTTTAAATTCAAATAGAGGTTTAAGCCATACTGTTACAAATAGTGCACTTACCTGAGATGTTTCTTAACATTACATTTCCATTTTTTCAGGTTGTCTAATTCTTTTTCAGCATTTAGTTAGGCACGGACACGGGTGAAATATCAATTTTTTTGTATTAACTTCTTTTTGTATTAAGTAAACTTCTTCATCATCATCATCAGCCTCTCCCAACCCACTGCTGGACATAGGCCTCCCCTGTTTGTCTCCAAAGTGTTCTATCTTGTGCTTGCTGTATCCAGTTTTTTGTTGTCTTGCGTAAGTCGTCTTGCCATCGTGTTGGTGGTCTTCCTTTGCTACGTTTATCGGCTCTTGGTCTCCATTCAACTAGTTTACGAGTCCATCTTCCGTCCTTCATTCACGTCAACGTGTCCAGCCCATTTCCATTTTAAGTTACAGCTTACAACTAAAGTTCTTAAATGTCGATTAATGTGCTTTGGTAAAAAACATAGGTTACTTTGAAACTTAGGAAGGCAAACTTGGTGATGTTTTTAGGCAAAATTTTGGCTGTTTTAACACTGAACATTACTACCTAGTCCAATACCTAGTCGATATGCACTAATGAGACTAATCCAGGGGAGTACATATCTCAAAACTGGAAAAATGGCGTTTTGTCGATTTTGATACTATTCCAACTTAGATCATACCAACAATAATCATTAGCACCATTGACTACATAGCCCACGTTGGACATTTTTTTTCTTCTGCGTCTTCTTCTTCTTCTTTTTATATACACATGACTCGGTATGATTTCCAATATTCCTCCAGTAAGTTGTCGTTCCACTGTTTTAGTGGTCTTCCTACTAATCTTCTTCCTATTAGGACACCATCTTTCGTTGTCTTTACTTCTATCAACTGTCATTCGCCTTATATGATCGTTCCATTCTGCTCTTCTTACCCAGTCCTTGATGTTCTCCAGCTTGCAGTTACGTCGCCTAATGTGATGTCTAGATATTTAAACTTTATCGCTTGTTCTATTATCTGACCTTCCAGCTCCAATTTACATCCTAGTAAATTTGCTGTACAACCATGCATTTTGTCTTTTTTTGGGGAAATCAACATGTTAAGTTTCTTGGCGGATATGTTAATTGGTGCAGCATCCGTTCTAAATATCCTTGTTGTTTTCATCGCATTTGGTATCCTTTTTATTTCCTATTTTTTTTATTATTTCATCCATGATCAGGTTGAACAATAAAGGACTCAGAGAAGCTCCCTATCTTATCACTGCCTCGGGTAATTGCTGGGAAGACTGAATAGCTCTGCGGTTACCACAGCCGGCCCCAAGCCAGATAAATTCTGGAGGGTGATTGGCAAGGTTAGCAACCTACCAATCGTAAAAACGAATACTGCTCAAAGAAACAATGTACAGCTTTAAAACCGGATTGATACTATGACAATAAATGGGCCTTAGTCTGTTTAATTAATCGACTCCACTTATTCCCATTTCTACGTTTCGTTCACGAGTTTCTAGTCGAGGTTTGACAAATCCTCCTGTACTTAGTACATATTTTGTATTTTTGGCCGCCCCTTGAGGCGTTTTGCGATCATGTATTAGTACCTTGAATCTATTGACCTTCTTTTGTATCTATTTAATACCATATTTGAAACAGGTATTATACCTAAAGAATGGCTCCAATCGACATTTATACTGCTTTCCAGAAAAGCCGATGCAAAGGAGTGCAATGAACATTGCACCATATCCTTAATGAGCCATGTCTTGAAACTGTTTTTAAAAGTAATTCACAAAAGAATGCATATGAAATTAGATGAAGGCAGAAGTAATACACAAATGTGATTTAGGAAAGATCTGTGAAAACAGAATGCACTGTTTGCAATGGGTGTTATTATGCAGAGATGAACGCCTATATATGATCGTAGATACCTAAAAATATTATTTTTCATAATGATTTCACCATTCAAAGTTATCATATTCCCTGTAGTAGTAACTTCATCTGTAAATGAATATTCTGTTATGTTCTATAATCTGCTGTAATCTTACTTTCTCAAAAAGTGTATCTCTCTTATTCACAATCTTCACATACAACCTCAAAACTCCTTTCTTATTCAATATCCACCAAAGAACCTCTCGAGGAACTATATCATATGCTTTTTCAAGATAAATGAATGGCCATATGAACGTTGTTTCAGTATTCCAATATTTTGCCATTAATTAGCTTTATAACTTCAGATAACTTAATACTCATCCAATTAATATATGCGCTCCAATGCTTTATCGCGTAAAATGTGGCTTTCATTAGTAATTTCATCATAAAACGTGTTTTTCTCTAATACGAACTATAAACTAGCCAATTTTAATGGAACGCTGGCGATATTCACCTATTTGTCAAATATATAAATATTTCGACTTTTGGTTTTAATCGATTTCAATTTGTATCGTTTTTCAATATATAAATATGTTAAATGTGATTATTTATGAATTTATTAGATTTTGAATGAAACTAATTTTTCCAGTTGAAGTTTAATTTAACAACAACGAACTACGTATTGTAGGAATGTTGTGATAAATTAAATATCCATAACTAAAAAAGATTTATGTCACTGTTTATTTATTTTTAAAATAATTATATCTTTTAAAGTTTAGAAAGTATTTATAAGAAATTTCCAAAGATCGATCAATTTAAATGCCATTTGGTTTCCAATCGCCTTCATCGTAAGTGATAAATTGCAATGGGAAACGTACGTGACAAAATAACTTATAGTTCCACCTCTAAGGAGTGTCGCGGACATCGATTTCCTACCCCCTCCATAGTCCTGGGCGCTACGCTAGAGTGTAGAGAACGGGAAAGTCAGTTAGTTGAGGACCGACGTTCGGTCAGTGAAGTGCGATGGCCACATGTTATCCAGCGTATGAATTGTCCTCTCCTCAGAGGACAGTGCAAGTGCCTATACAGAAAGACTACACGAAACCCCTTCATGTGGACTGCAGTGTAGAATACGAATTACCGAATACTGCGAAACCGCCGCAGGGAGTTCGAAATGAGCCCCTTTTGATGATCCATCCTTGTTACTTCAGGAAGATCGAGAGCCAAAGAAGGAGTCCCTTTATCAATAATCTGCCTCCTTCGAGACCACCTACCACGACCACTACTACTGCCGTCAAGAGGAGAATGCCCAGGGGCCAACAACTTCCTCAGCAAGTGCCACAACAAGCTGCTCAGTATCCTGTTCAGTATTCCACGACATCAGACAGACAAATATGGGAATTAATGCCACCTTTAGTGCCAATTACTTCGGCTGCTCAGCCTTACTGCAAACGAGAACGACTTATGTCAGCCTGTGGACAAACGTACACAACGGCCAGTGATTCCGGTCATTGGCCAGATCCTGAACATTCTCCAGATCGCCCCGAAGAAAAACACATTCTATCGGGAAAATATAGGCAGTATTTGAGGGCCCATAGACTTCATCCATACGTTAGTTCGGCGATTCCCTTGGGAACGACGTTTCCCCAAATTCAGCAAGTTTGCTATAATGTCTGATCACTGTGATATGTTAATTCCGATTCGGACTGGTCGAATGCGGAACCATTTGCCTCATCTGTGGTTTCCATAATCTTTCTTGTGATAATAGTGTGTAATTATGTGACGACGAAGGGCACTAATGGCGCGTGCGCTTTTGTCCGGGCGTGGTAGTGATCCTGATAAATCAGCTGTGTCTGTGCATTTTAGCCTCCGTCTCCTTCAGGATTTTTAGTTTTTCTTTGGGATATCATCCACATGTGACTTGGAGTTGGTTTGTTTACTTTATGGTATAATGATGTTTTTGCTATAAATACTTTCGTGAACACTACCTAACAATCTATTCTAAAAGACAAATCTATTTTTTTGTGCTAGCAATATTTTTTTAAAATTTCTCTATACAGAGAAAAATATTTTGAATATTCAAACCAAAAAATATGCTGGAACATTACTTATATTGTATGTACTATATGGAGGATGTTCAAATAAATAATTTTCAACAAAACCAACACAATATTGCTGCCACAATAAAATAACTTTAAATTACAATAAACCGATCTTGCAATAGTTGACAATCATATCACATTTCTCAGTTTCATAATTCAACTAATAATCTAGCAAACATTTCTTTTTTTTAGGATATTACTTATATTAATAGATTTTGCTTAGTTTCTATCAATCTAGACCATACAGATTCTATGGGTCACTAGGATTTTATAAATATTTTAAAATTTATTCATATTTTTTAACTGTTACGAAAGTAGAATCTAAACCATATCTAACTCAATTTACTAGACAAAACATAAATAGCACTTGACTAATAATGTGACCAATCATTTTGGAAGAAATTATATGATCACTGTTGAAAATTGCTTAATGACATGGTATTGATTACTATTTCCACACTGAATTTGTCAACTTTTGCAAGGTACTGGTAATTTTACACCTATAAACCAATCATATTTAGCTCTGAAATTACCGATACTTTAAAATTTACTATAAACGATGAAAAAGAGAACTGTAGATTTTAAATTTGTAACTTCAAGTATAAATTGTGAATAATCACTTCCAAAATTACGGGGGGTTGACTAAACGTGTTTTAAGTCGTGGCAGGTTTTTTTCTCCAGAGTTATTACTAACATAAAACATTAATCGTGTTATTTACGATGTAATTATAGCTGAAAAGGAAATATGAAACAGTTTATTTTGCTGACCTAGAAAACTGGCCATAAATTGCTACTTTGTTGCCGTCGGTCGGCGACGGGAAACAGTTTCGAAATTAGAAAATTACCCAATAAATGAAGATATATATTCGATAAAAACGACATGTGGGGTACCAGCATGACCAATTATGTTGGTACCTCATTATGTTGCATTACTTGGAAGAACTTAATTACAGTATAGTGAATATGCACACGTTGAAATTTTTTTATCGTCTATTACTTTTTTCTATTACTCTATTTTTCTCTAGTTACATCAGTTTACTTCTGAGTATTTTGTTCATGTGTTGTTACAACTAATGTCATGCAATTGGTATATGTAGTTCATTTGATATTAACGATTTTTTATCGGTCTTCTATATTATAAGGTTTGCTTATCTCTTCCGGTATATATGTATTTCCAATACGTTATTACTTTTTCATATTAATGTATTGATTGTAACATTTGTATATTTTTGGTTTTAATACGATTTTGTATTATTGATGTAGTAGGTCATATTCACATTCATACTTTTCTGTTATATTTCTATACTCATCAAGTTTTTGCGATCGTATGCTCTCAAAAAGCTAAGCTAAGATGTGGTTATAGGGTCAAGAAGATAATTATAACTTTAACAATTCTCAAACATCTGTTCTTTTATCATCGCGCATCGACCAAATACCCATAATATGTAATATGTTTGTTTCATGTTCTTGTTTGTGATATTTACGATTTGTGTTTATTTTCTAATTTCTCAAGTTTAATTTTTTGAATTATGTTTTTCTAACAGTTCATCACCAATAAATTTGAACAAATACTGATCAGTTATTTAACTTCCGTAATAGTTCCGTTTCTTGCAGTATATTTTATTTTATGTGGCATTCAACGTCTCATCTATTTTTGATGACTTATTATCTCGTCTTGGAGGATTTAAGTTTAACCACATTATTTTTGGTGTTAATAACTTGTAATACGCCCTAGTTACACTTAAATTTTCCTTATTATATATCGTAAATTCAATTAGAAAGTGATTATTACATATTTTCTATATGCAACTTTACATTTTATCCAAATGGTTATTGTTTCTAATAAGAAATAACCACAATTTGAATTTAGGATCATATCCAAGTCGCTTTTCATGCAGTAGTTAGATAAATGTACGTTTTTGTCTTTGCAATGCTCACCATCCTGAGGAATTTGTTGCGTGAGCTATAGGAATTAGGCTGTGTCTTTCATTATTACAGTTTATTATTTCACTTGTCTAATAAATTCTAGGAAGTGTTTTGATATTTTTAATCGAACTAATATAAATGTAGTTTTTCTCCTTGTTGAAATTTTCACATTTTGTTTTATTCGTGTTGTTTGTTTTTACTGTTATATCAGTCTTTAGTTTTGAATTCTTCATGACGTGATCGTCATTTTACTAAATATTTGCAAGTATATTAATATTAATTTATTTTAATTTAATATTCGTCATATGTTTTTCTTTTGTGTTATGGAGATTATTGTTAATCATGATTCACGTTTTCCCATTTAAATTGTTTAGGTATGTTTCATACTTTCTGTTTCACCCACCATATCAATTTAAGTATGTCGTTTTCATAGAAGTGAATATGTTTATTATTATTTTTTTTATAATTAAAATAACGAGAACTAGTTAATTTCTAGAAAATTCCAAGATCAGAATAAATTTCAATATATTGATCTTTCTCGGCAGTCATTCTCAGTTGTAATGGATACCGCCAAGTCGAAAACAGAAAATTTTTCAATTCAAAAGTACTTAGTCATTAATATTAAAATCTGAACCAGAAGTTTAAACTAAAGGAAGGATGTATAAAAAGCAAATTGGCTTCAATACGATCAATTATATCAAAAAACAGCTTTCGGAAAAGCTAAAATCATAGTATGTTTTCTAAACTGCAGTTACAGTGACTGCAATCACTGTGTTACGAAAAAATAGCATTCATACTGGTATTTTGTACTCATTTTATTTTTCTATTGCTAAAATTTGAACGTGTCTTCCATAAAAAATCCACCGTTTTACAATTTTCATGTTTTTCGACCAATAGCCATTGTCTTTAAATTGTATTATCCCGTATTTTTCCTTGTAGTATGCTCCGACTATTCGTTTTTATTCTGCCATGGTGTATTTTAGCATATCTTTCAGCTTTTACATTTACTGCACATTTTGAACACTTATTATTTTTTAAACTTAACTGGAAAATATTTAAAATGTAGAAATTTTAGCGATAAGAAAGAGATATTTCTAGTAATTGAATCTTCGATTGTCAATTTCCTCTAAAATTTCACGTTTTACAAAATCCCTATCGAAAATTGTTGGCGTTTTTCATTACAGTTCAGCACGTCTGCGTTATTATTTAAACATTCATGATTCAATAGTTTTTATAGATTTTCCTTTTGCGTGATGTTTGTGAATGGTATTATGTCGATAAAACTATTGTTTGTTCGAGTATATGAGGTCATAGATACTAATTATTACTCACAAAACTCTTATCTATAAATAATAAACGTAAGGGAAGGATGTTTTTGGTGTTCTTGTATCCTTCTTTTGTAAATGTTATTTAGTAGCTTATGGTTGTTTCATTTTCTTGTCATTTAATATGTTAAGTAATGACCAATTGAGATAAACGAGCCCTTGTGGAATTTTTTAAACGTTTTCTTTCGTTATTATATTCGCTATCATATTTCCTATTAATGGTTGCATTTTTTAGTTTTATTTTCTTTAATTATACACCTTAAATACATTATATAGGATGTAGAGAAAGGTCTCCATTCCTTTTTTTTACATTCTCCTTTTCGATTCAGTGTCCATGTCTCTTAAATGTAATAAGATGCTGTTCCAATTTGTTTGCAAATTAATTGCAATTAAGAGTTTAACCATTGATGAATTAAAGTTGACAGAAAAACCTGTCTAAAACCAAGTCGCGTAGTTGTGAACGAATTTTTCGACATGACAGAATTTCACGTTACCCAAATTAGATTTCGTACTTAACACATATGATTTCGTATTAGCAAGAGCCCTGGATACTTCGGGTTTTCTGTGTAGCATGACATTAATTACCAATATGTCAATACATGTGTGCATTTAAAAACTGTTACGAAGTTCCTTGTCTAATTTTGGTATCGTAGTCTTGTAATTTAACTTTCATTTATAGCTTTTTAGGTAATATATTTACCTTCATTCATTATAGTCATGCAACTTGGACGGAATATATTATCGATTTGAGTAATTTTAGATAAAAAAACAAATCTATTTATGTTTCAAGGATTTGGAAAGTATGCTCTTATGCGGGGAATTGACTTGAATCATCTCGTAATACGTCGTAGATTCCTTAAAAACATCTATTATAAAAATAATGTGTTCTCTAAGAAAGTGAAAGATAATTTCATTATAAGTATTAATAATTATTAAGTATTTGAAATTCCAGATATTGAAATAAACAATTCTTTATCAAAAATAAATTTTAACAGTCATCATTAACGTACAATTAAAGAATTTTTGATCATTTATGCCTAATTAAATAATAATTATGTACAATTTAAATACATGCTTTGGATAATTATTTGTAATGTGGGATTTTACTACACAATTTGGTTCTCGTGTATCTTTTTCACTTATTAATGCATTTTTTTGCAATATATTTTTTTTTTGGACGAAGTCTTTGAAGTTCAACCAAGTTTCAATCAAGGTGTTATTTTTCTCACAGGTTTCTATTTATCTTCCTCTCTTTCTTTATGTAAAATTAAGTTTTCTTTAGTTAAAAATCTAATTATTCTTAGGGAAACGTGGATTTCAAAGCTTGCATTTTGGCAAATGTATTTAAATGCAATCGTACATTGTAATCGAGATTTATAGGAGATTATTGAAATTATTACTTCCAACCTCAGCTGGAGACGACGATTCAGGAAGAAATAATTTGAGGCGACGACCTCTGAACCTAGAATAGAATGTAACATTACAAAACGCTGGCTGGTCGCGAAAGCATACACTTCTTGATCACTAAATGCATTGTTCTTGGCTATTATCATATTTGGCTTTGTTATTGTGGTATTCTATATGAATTTTTCCATTTTACCCATTGTGTTGATTGAGTGTGATAATTAAAAATTGAAAGGTTGAAGATTATTTTACTTTGCTTTGATACTATTCTTTCCGTCGCTTAAAAAGCAATGTTTCTTTTAAATGTGAACTTTCAATCACCTGTGATCTAAACGTAAGCTATTTTATAA